AGAGACACGCACGCGATACACAACACGCTTCGAACGCGCAACATGTGTTTACTCGGCAAGAAGTCGACTGATTTTTGGTTATGATTGCGGCGCTGCACTCGCGGTGCGACTGCACTGTCGAAGTACATGAGCGCGTAATTGATTAAAGCTTAAGAATTGAGAACGTGGCAATTTGAGAAACATAAAATGTTTCGTATTTGATAATCGTTTTAAGATTAGTTGGAATAAGTAGTAAATGTTTTCACAAAATATTTAATACTTTATCACTAATTAAAAATCAATCGTAAAATGAAAGAGTAATTAATCAGTTAATTAAAGTATTCGATTCTCCGCTTTTTCTTACAATTCTGCATACGAGAGATATTCCATGTTAAATGAATAGTTTTTTTATATGTAACCTGTTTATGCCTTTATGTTTATGTTTATTATAATTCTAGTAAACTACAGCAGATGTTATATGTATAAAAAAGAAATTTAACATGTTAATTTTATAATATGTAGTTTATATATTATACAATAATAAAAAACTTTGTTACAACACAAAAATATAGAAGCTAAAAGTCATTATTTTTAGCTTTCTCCCATTGCCATTCTACTGCACCTTCATTGAAAAAATAATCAGCGAATCTATTCCTGTAAATCGTTGCCAAATTACGTGAAGTTAGATCTTGGCTAATTCTTTTTGGCAAAGTTGTCAAGCATGATTTTTGCTGCTTGTCGTAATCATTATAACACAAATACTGTCTTTCCTGAGGACGCTTTTCCATTTCGTTAGTAATAATGAAATTATGTAAACATATTGTAGCTAATACAATCTTCTTTGCCTTTAATATTGAGGTATTTATAGGCCTACGAAAAATTCTCCACCTTGCTACTAAAATGCCAAAGGCATTTTCAATAACACGCCTTGCTCTGCTGAGACGATAATTGTACACCTTTTTTCTTAAATCAAGATCTGATCTTCTTGGATAAGGTCGCATCAAGTACGGTGCTAAAGGATACGCTTCATCGCCAACCAAAACATATGGCAGCTCCCTTTCACCAACTATACGAGCAGGCAAAGGTACATTTAAAGTGTTTGAATGTAATCCCGATTGTATACTGCTATCAGCAAACACTCCACCATCGCTGCGACGACCTTCTGCTCCAACATCAATCAAAATGAAACGATAGTGTGCATCAGAAACACCAGTGAAATTGATGCTGTGAGTTTTTTTATAATTAAAATAAATGGAACCACTATGCGGAGGAGCCTGAAATGTAATTAAGCATTTCTAACATATTTGTATCAATATGCCTTAAATAAAGAGAGAGCTAAAATTAATTATTACCTCTATTACCATGTGCCTTCCATCAATCGCTCCAAAACAATGAGGAAAATTCCACAGTTTTTCAAAATTTTGCGCTATCTTTTTCCATTCTTGTGTACTTGGTACAGGCATAACTATATCTTTTAATGTTTTCCAAATTTCATTACAAGTTTCATGCACAATTTTAGAAACTGTGTTTGGAGCGACTCTAAAGGCATATCCTATAGACTTCATGCTATCACCACTAGCTAAATATCTAATACAAATTTCAAGCCTTGTTCGAGAGGGAATTGGTTCCCTTATATTGTATTCTTTTTCAATTTTAGGACCCACTAAGACAAACAGTTTATCAAAAATGTCCATCTGCATTCTGAAGTAATTAAAATACAATGATGGATCTGTTGTTCTTAACATTGTAACTAAATTTTGGCTTTCAGGCTTTCGCGGCTGTTGTCTTCTTTAGTCTTCATGGCTTCCGGATAGTTGCCGCGTCCGTTTGCAGTCCGTTTGCTTCATCAGGGCTGGGAGACTCTGATACTGAGCTCCCTCGCGTTGCGCTCGTCCTTTTATACTCGTTCTTGGGGGGAAGGGAGGGGGTAGTCAGGGGGGGGGGCGTGGTCAGAGGG